CGCAGTTTTCTATCCTGGGCCAGGTGTGTTGCACGTGTTGTTGTTAGTCCGTGTTGCCTCAGGATCTCTGATATATTGTCTATCCATCGTACTCTCGGTCTGCCTCTTGCTCTAGGGCAGTAGTGCTGTTCGTTGTATGCTCGTAGAGGCAGTTGGTCGGTTTGCATTCGCATCAAGTGGCCAAACCACTCTATTTGTTGCTTCTTTATGTATTGCAGGCATGGTGTGGTTCCTACAATTGCTCTAATGTTCTCGTTTCGAAGACTGCAAAGGAGTTTAAGTACTTTAAGATCCTGTTTTTGTGGTTTCGCTCACATCCCAGCACTGCGTGGTACTCCCTATGCTAACATCTCATGGCTATATGGTACTTCCTATGTTCACACCTCAGTACTGCATGCCACTTCCTAGGTTTTAATCGCAGCACTGAATGGTACTTCTCTTGTTAATATATCAGTACTGTATGGTACTTCCCATATTATTAATATCTCAGCACAAATGGTAATTTCTATGTTAATATCTCATCACTACACATACTTACCCTGTTGATATCCCATGACTGAATGGCACTTTCCATGGTAATAAAACAGTACTCTATGGTCCTTCCCATATTAACATCTCAGCACTGTATAGCACTTTCTATTTTCAAATCTCAGCACTGTATGCTACTTCCAATGTTCGCATCTTAGTACTGTATAGTAATAAGCACTGTACTGTGCTTCCCAGGCTAATATCTCAGCACTGTATAGTACTTCTTAGGATACCTCATGACCTATTTTGGTACTTCCCATATTCATATCTCAGCATTGTATAGTACTTCTCATGGTATCCCATGACTTGTTCAGTACTTCCCATCTCAGTAATCTATAGTACTTCTCATATTTATATTTCAGCAGTATATAATACTTATCATGATATCTCATGACCTGTTTTGGTACTTCCCATCTCAGTATTGTATGGTACTTCCCATGTTCATATCTCAGCACTGTATAATACTTCTAATGATTTCTTATGACCTATTTAGATACTTCCCATCTCAGTAATGTATGGTATTTCCCATGTTCATATCTCAGCACTGAACCGCCTGCTGGAAACGTGTACTAAAAGAAGAGGTCAAGCATGCAGAAACTAGCTGCAGGGCAACCAAGATGTGTAAGACAACTCCTAATTGCTTCAGTGAGAATGGAGACACTGAAATAGTTGCTGCATCAGATGTAAAGGTAAACGTGAGACGATGGACCTCACTGCACCAGGTTTTATTCCATTTGGCTCATTCTCCGTCTCTGCAGAATAGCTAGCTGCCTGCCGAGAGCTTCGCACAGGGTAGAAACTCCGTAGCTCCAGCAACGATCCCTAGGGATCTCTGTAAGAATTGAGCATCCTTTAGATATTTTCTCAGGGTCTTGCCAGTGTGTTGGGAAATGAGCAGGCAGATAAACTGGCCAGTTCTGCACCACTTGGTGGTGAACTGATGTAGGACAAGCTGGATGTTGTGAGGGCCCTTTGGGAGCGAGTGAACAGTGCGGAGGAACAGATAGATCATTACGGTCTGAGGGAAATGGCACTGCAAGGAGTTACAAGGGGATCAGGCTGATGCTCAGGGAAAAGGCGAGACGGATATACAATCAGACAATTACTGGTAACATTAGAATTTTAAATCTTCACTTGCTGCTGAAGATGGGAACGGAGTGCTTATGGTTGTGTCCTGAGTGCTGTGATATTGATTCTTAATTCAACATTCAACAACATTGTAAGAACTGCACTTGTGAACTGAACTGCCATAAAACGAACCCACAACCTTTAGAGCATGATGCAAATGGCTTTCACCAGAGATCCCCTTGCTGTATCAGAGGAAGGGACACCAATGGGTTGGACCGATGTGCTAGGGCAGGTATGTCGAAACTGATGGTCTCTGAGGTTCATATGTCACATTTGTGTCGTCACAAGAGCCACATGTGACAACTAGCTGAAGTCCTTTAATAAAAGGAGTTGCAGAAAACTTTTATTGTAGGCTGCAGATTTGCTTGCTAGGATGTTCATACGGACAATTAATACACACTTTCACATACCAACACACACCTATACAGACTCAAACAAACAAGACTAACTTACACATATGCCAGCCGGGACAATAAAAGCCAACTTCACACAAATGTTACTTTAGGTAAAAATGCAATTTAATAAACACTTCTAATTATAATAGAAAACATCACATTAGAATCTGGCCACTAAGTCTGCACATAATCATCCATGAACTTACATACATCCCGCCATGCTCTGTCGTACAACTTTCAACTTGTCTACTTTTCTTGTCAAAAATGCTGCTCTCATTTCTACACAACTAATCTAGCTCATCTTTCTCACACAAAAAGATTTCTCTTCTTTAGAGTCTCTTATCATGAGGTGTACCTATCACATGATAAACTTCTGATATGATAAACATACCATGTGATGAAACTTAAACCTATCATATGATAGACTTCTCATATGATAAACATACCATGTGATGAAACTTAAACCTATCACATGATAGACTTCTCATATGATAAACATACCATGAGATGAACTTAAAATATAATGAACCTGTCACATGAGGAACCTGTCACATGAGGAACCTGTCACATGAGGAACCTGTCACATGAGGAACCTGTCACATGAGGAACCTATCACAATAGGAATCTGTCACATGAGGAACCTGTCACACAAGGAACCTGTCGTATGAAGAACCTGTCACATGAGGAACCTGTCACACAAGGAACCTGTCATATGAGGTACCTGTCACATGAGGAACCTGTCACACAAGGAACCTGTCACATGAGGAACCTATCACAACAGGAACCTGTCACACAAGGAACCTGTTGTATGAAGAACCTGTCACATGAGGAACCTGTCACACGAGGAACCTGTCATATGAGGAACCTGTCACACAAGGAACCTGTCATATGAGGAATCTGTCACACAAGGAACCTGCCATATGAGAAACCTGTCACATGAGGAACCTGTCACATGAGGAATCTGTCACATGAGGAGCTTATCATATGAGGAACCTGTCACATGAGGAATCTGTCACATGAGGAACCTGTCACATGAGGAATCTGTCACATGAGGAATCTGTCACATGAGGAATCTGTCACATGAGGAATTGTCACATGAGGAACCTGCCAAAGATGGAACTTAATTTATGACGCATCTATCACACAAGGAACCTGTCACATCAAGAATTTTTCGCATGATGAATCTATCATATTTGGTACCTGTCACGTGATAAACCTACCAAATGATGACCCTGTCATGTGATGAACTGTCACACAATGAACATGTCACATGATCAATCTATCAAATTATAAATTTATGATGTAATGACTTTAATCATATGGTGAACAAGTCACAAGATGAATCCTTCAAATTATAAACCTATGATTAATGAACCAACCAGGTCAGATTTTTTGGCTGCCCCTTGTACGGGACAAGGCATATGAAGATAATAATGGCAGACAATCAGAACACCCATCTAATACTCATCACACTGGAAGGCTCTCAAAATGAGTGGATTTCTGGCATTCCAGGATTCAGTGCCATACAAGAGTTGATCAATAAGTTGCCTATCCATTGAAGAACATTGCCGAATCAACCCCAGCATTTTTTAGCTGTTCGTGATTTTACTAGGCAATTGTCCATTCGGTAATCTTGCCACTGCCTTCTGAAAGATCGCCTCTCGATACCATTCTCAAAAACAATGCAAGGCAGTCTGCTGCCAAATTGCCAGCAGTTGGATCAAACTGACTATCTTGGAAATCCAAACAAGGGTTGACAACTTAATTAATGTAGCTCTAACAATATCCCCATTAAAAGTAACAAGGACCCTTTACTCACAAATCACACCTGCTGAGATATCTGCACTCATTAGTTGAAGAGCTAGCCGCATTTCCTTTACAGGACTCCGCAGAACCAACGCCAGCATTTTCTGACTGTTAGTGATTTTACTAGGCAATTTGACGTTTAGTGGTCTACTACCACTAGTGAACGGTGGGCTCTCAATGACACTGTTGAATCCAAACCACGGCAATACAGTCTATTCATATTAGTACACCATTTAAAAAGATAAATACTGATAAACAGAACACAAAACAGGCAGGAGAAATAATAATTAATAGTATTTACTCTTCAAACTGATAGTTTTTAGGTCGATTAGTTCAATTATGTTCAGTTGTTTCCCTTTTATAGATGTCCCTTACGATTAAGTTCAGTCTTTTCCCTTCTGTAGATGTCCCTAGCAATTATGTTCAGTCTTTTCCCTTCTGTAGATGTCCCTTTCAATTATGTTCAGTCTTTTCCCTTCTGTAGATGTCCCTTACAATTATGTTCAGTCTTTTCCCTTCTGTAGATGTCCCTTGAAAGAGGCAATCTACGTTCTTTGGTTATGTGATGACAAGAAGAAAACGGGGGTACATCATGACAGCATAAAAGTTGGAAGGGAGGAGAGGCAGAGGGAGACTGAGAGAGCAGATGCTGGACAGTTTGACATAATGGCATGGAAGATCATCTGTGTCAGAGTTTACTGAAAGTACACAAGAAAGAAGGTTGTGGATAGTCGTGACTACAAATGCCACACAGCATAGATTTTAAGAAGAAAAAGATGCCCCTTACATTTGTGTTCAGCATTTCCCCTTCTGTAGATGTGCCTTACAATTATGTTCAGCATTTCCCCTTCTGTAGATGTCCCTTTCAATTATGTTCAGCATTTCCCCTTCTGTAGAGGTCCCTTGCAATTATGTTTAGTCTTTCCAATTCTGTACATTTCCCTTACAATTATTAGTCAACTCCTTCGATATGCTTGTTGGAAACGCAGTGGGTCTATTCTTATTTTCCCCACAATGGGCTTCCTGGAACCCACATGGGAAGTTAACTGTTTTAATAACCACTTGTCCGATTCTGATTCACAGTAGTCAGCACGTGAAACTCTTAAATATAACGACAGAACAGTCAGTGTGTGATGCTGCATGCTACAAGACATCGGCCATGTTTGGCAGGTACTCGCTGTCATACTTCCGGTCTCCCAGAACGTGCTGATACAAGCCCGGTTTTAATTTATCTGCCGCTGCCAAAACGATGCGCCAGTCGCCCTCTAGGGTCAGGCTGAGGTCGTGTCTGAGTTTCTTCGCATTCACCCGAGCAGACGCAGAGCTAGGCGAGCTTAAACAGGAAGGAGAACAAAACTTATTTCATGCAAAACTAAGAGACACAATGATCAGTCAACACATAAACTGACTATCTCACTGTCTTTTGTTTCTGCTTCTTCTTCAGCCCTGTCTCCCCCAAAGGAGTATAGGCTCTCAACCAAGTCATCCTATCTTAAGCTATTGAGTGTAGTTCACCCTATGCCCTCTCTATATTTTTTAATTCACTCTCGAATCCCTTATTCAGTATGTCTTTTCTAGGTCTGTTGAAATTCCTTTGATCCTGTGGGGACCAATGCATGGACAATCTATCCTAACACTTCACTCTCTATTCTTTTTCTTCATCGCGTTCACCGGTTGTAAACTCTGACAGAAAGTTCTAGTTGCTCGTCCCCTCCTGGACTTTAATCATGTTACAGAACTTGAGCTTTGAGTGCACATCTGTTTTACAGATCTAGCTTTATTTGTACGTACTGTTGGTTTCTCCCCTTTCGGGCAGATGACTTCACTCTCTAAATCCCCTCTCTCTGTTGCTGTCTGCCGTTATTATTTACCTTATGGGTACCAGTACAAATAATTATAGTTATAGTACTATCAGTTTTTCTCAATGTTTGTCCTATCCAACACTGTCCTTCCCTCATCTTTTGATTCAACTCAATTTGCTTAGTTCTTCCTCAAAGCTCTATTTCAGTGGTCCTACCATATCATTTAATTCCTGCTATTATGCGCAGGCATCTGTTAACTGATTTTTGTAGTTCATTAATAATTACTGTTCCCTGTGTGGGTTTCAGGGCCCTATTAGGGAAAAAAGAATAGACCCTCTGCCTACCCAAAGGTATGTCGTAAGAGTTGACTAACTGGGAACTTTCTTCGAAGTCGAAGTGCATCTGCCTGAGAGGAAAGCATACAGTTTACAGCTGGTGAACATGAAGAAACGAAGAAGAATGATAACTATTTTTCATGTCTCTACGTTTTAGCTCCTTACAACAACAGTATAGATTTGACATTACAGCTAAATATTTCAGGTTTGATACTAATTCCCCATACTTCCCAGCGCTATAAAAGAAATGATTAAATCTTACATCTACCTAGGAGAACTTGAGACTATAGCCCTATGCTCTGGAACTTAACACTGTACGATCCCTGCTCTTCTTCTCCACGTTGTGTGGCATTTGTTATCTTGTCTTTCCACAGCCTTCTGTCTCATGTACAGCTAATCATTTTTGACACAGATGTTCTTTTATGCTCCCTAGGTATTTAATACTCTATACTTCCCTGCTCTGAGTACTTGTTATACATAGCAGGGGAAGTCATTAAGTAAAGGCAATTAATAAATTCGTTACAAGCGGCGGGAACAAAATTATTCTGCTGTTCCCATTTCTTGACGTAGTCTCCCTGGCTTGCAATACATGTAGTCCACCGATCCACAAGACTGTGGATGCCCACCAGGCAGAGCATTTGTGTGTAGCCAGTAACCAAGTCTGCACCAGCGACATCATCTTACTGTCATCTGCAAATCTCTGACCCCACAGAATGTTCTTTCAATGGGCAAAATAAATTAAAATCCGATAGTGACTCACGTCAAGTTCTATATCAATTTCATCAATAGCGGCTCGTCTGTTGTCGCAGATTAACTGCTCTATCTGTCGTTTCACTGTCTCACTTGCCAGGTCAACAGGTCTCCCACTCCACTTTTCATCACTGATGTTATACCTTCTGTTTTTAAACTGCCTCCATATTGAGCCTTTATCATTTATAGATTTCAGATGGGTTAACACCCTCTGCCCACAGAAAAACCGAACAACACATCGTTGCACTTCCACAGTGCATGTTAATAGTGCTGCAGACATCTTGTACGAGTTGTTGCGCATATGCATACTGCTAAGTCATTATGACACATCCTTTGGGTATTGCAGAAGGGCTATTCTGTGTCCTGAATAATATTTATTGTTCTGCATACAGTTCCACGCAGACCAGGGTCAATTACCTTTACTTAATGACTTTTCCTCGTATATATTCCTGTTAAGGTACTTGACACCACCATATTTTGTCTGTCAGTATCAGAAATAGGATTAAAACCAGTCAAACAGTTCATGAAAAGGCAACAGATAAGATGGATTTGACATCTGGTGGGAATGCCCCAGTACAAACAGCCACAGACAGCCATGCTGAAGAAATATGATGAGCACAGATCAAGGGGAAGACCTCACAAAAAGTGGAATGACGGCAACAAGAACAGCTTCAAAGTAATAAGGATTACATTATGCAATGCATTAGAAAAAACACAAAGAAGATCCTTTTGTCTTCGCCAAACATCCTAAGAGGTACCTGGAGAAAGACAAAGAGAAGGAGCAAAATAATAAAAAGAATGAGGAGGAGGAGGAGGAGAAAATAAGAAGATAAAGAAGAAGATAAAGTAGAAAGAAAAAGAAGAAGATGATGAAAAAGGAGAACAAGGTGCCAATGATGAGAAGAATAATTTCAAAAAACATTCATTCTTACATATGTAGTTGAAACTTACTTATCTCCTTCCAGGTACTTGATAAGGCAGAATGCGCGTCGCTGTAGTGTGTGCATAAAATGTCGGATGTAAGCCTCCCGTCTGCCATTGTCTTGTGGCAACTTGTAGACCTAATAAAATAATTGTTCCCCATGTTTTAACAAATATCACCGAGTATTTTTCATTCAAAGATTATCACAACTGTTAAAATAAATATTCATAAACAGGCAAAGGATGTCATTTTTATACCAGGAGTCCTTGAGGCTGAGGATTGTGGGCAACACGTCTAGTGCATTCACCACAAACTGAGTAAACCAAACCAGGTTAGGATTTTATTTTTGCCATCAACATTTAAAAAAAAAAACCAGTTTAATAAGCATTCGAACACAGATCTCCCAAATGATGTCTCAGGATTGTTAACCATGCAGTGAGCTGTTCCTATGTAAAGAAGAGACCTGGGGGCCGCGTTAGCGCAGTCGATAAGAGGCTCACTTTTAAATCCAGATGCCATTCGCTGCTGCCACTCGCTGCAGCCACGGTCTGTGTTCGAAACCGAGCGGTTCCCAGGGTTCAACCAGCCTCCAGTAAATGGGTACCAGAATGGCACTCTGGGGTAAATGGAGGAATGTCGCTGTAGCTACAGATTTACGTGCGAACGGCGACACAGGCGAACAATTCTTATCAGCTGTCCGTACCGGTGGCAGAGCACTTATGGTTTATAACCGTGTGCAATGACTCTGGTTCACATCTTCCGACTTTACCTTTAACTTTAAAGGAGACCAAAAAATCCTTTGTATGTTAAAAATGTCCCAAAAGTAAAGTCTGATATATATGTGATGCTTTATAATTGTTAGCAAAACTAAGGGGACACAACAGCTAAATCATAAAACCAAAAATATGTTATTTCAAAGGGAGTGACTCCATGCAGACAAGAACTTACATCTTCAAGCAAATCTCTGACAAGGCTCTCAGACATGCTGATGGCAGGGATCAGTTTCGCTGGCCTAGAGAACACAAGTGGTGGAAAATGATTCACTATGGCCTAAACACTAGAACAAAATGACAATGAGAGAGAGAGAGAGAAGAAACACAGAAATGAAACAGACACAGAATAACAGGGAGATGGGGGGAGAGGGGGGGAGGGTATATCTGAAAAAGACACAGAGAAAAGAAACAGATATGAGACATTGTAATAGATAGAAAAATAGATATATCTGAGAAAGACAGACAGAGGGAAGCAGAGTTAGGAAAGGTAGAAAGGAGACAATAAACAGATATGAGAGAGGCAGAACAAGAGCAGATATATTCTTCCTCTTCTTCTTAGCATTCACCGGCTGTAAACTCTGGCAGAAAGTTCTGGTTGTTCATCCACTTCTGGACTTCACTCTTGTTCCAGAACCTGAATTTTGTGTGCGCACCCACTGCCTACCCAAAATCATGTTGTAAGAGTCAACTAATTGGGAGCTTCCTTCAAAGTCGGAGTGCAGTCTGCATACAAATGAGTCAGATATGTAAAATGGATGCACATGCAACACTCAGGTTCTGGAACAGGACTGCAGTCAAAAAGCGGATGAACAACCAGAACTTTCCGCCAGAGTTTACAGCTGGTGAATGCAAAGAAGAAGAAGAAGAATGTTATCTATATTTATTTTGTTCATTCACCTCTCAAAAATCAAAGAATACTTCCACTAACTGACCTGTCTCCATACCCCTCCTGACCCTGGTACAGCTCCTCCAACTCTCTGACCGCAGCCTCGTGGCTAAGCCATGGATGGTCAGTAGCTGAACTGGAATGGCTGATTTCTCGAGTGTCCACATCTATGATTGTTGTAGGATAGCGGCTGCACATTAAATCGCTACGGTTAATATTTTTAGTACCGTCTTCATTCTGAAATCAGAGATATGTTTTTAAAAGAAAATGATTGTTTTCACATTTTTTGCGCATCAAGAGACCTATATTTTTATTAACCGATCGGCATTAAATGCATGATGAGGTTAAAATCACATTGCCGCCTTTACTTCCCAAGATATTACCTAGTACCCATTTTAGGTTGAGCCGACTGGAGCCAAGGACATTTTGAAAAAAAATCTGGTCTGGGTGCGGATTTTATTCTTCTTCTTAGCGTTCACTGGCTGTCAACTCTGGCGGAAGGTTATGGTCAACTTCTTGACTTTCGACTTGAGTTTTGAATGCATATCCGTTTCACATTTCTTTTTTTTTTAAATCTGCAAATCTATCTGGCTTAGTTGGTTCGTCGCCTCTCATGCAGATGCAATCCAACTTTGAAGGAATCACCCCTAATTAGCTGTATTTTACAACTTGCTTGTTGGTGGAGGCAGCAAGTTTATTAATGTTTCTCTCAAAACAGGGCCGCCAGATTCCACAGGAGCCAGGTGCAAGGATAATAACAGAAGGGATGTTAGGAAAAAGACATGCTTTCTACATGCCGGTATCTGTGGCTGTGAACGTGCTTTGTGATGCTGGGGTGCCGGGTTCGATCCCAACTATAGGCGATCTAGCAGCTAACTGCTTTGCGCTGGTTTCAACGGTGGTATCAAGAGCTTAACGCTCAGGGGGGAAAAAACACGACAAACTGAACGTAAATGTGCCTAGGAAGAAAAACAGCCACACACACAAAAATGCTGGGGTTGGTTCTGAAATGTCCTGTAAAAGACAAACAACTAGCTCTACATGCATCAGAGAGATGCCAGGTCTGGTCAGTTAGCACTCCAGTGGAAACTAAGCTGCATGGATCATTGAAGGACATGCATCGAACCAGTGTCTTCATAGAGGCTTGTGACCTCATGTGGAAATCATTGGCAGGGAAATGAAAAGAAAAAAGGGAAACACTGATGATGATGCCGTTGGTACATGGGAGTAAATAAAGCACAGTGAGGCACATCTATGCCGCCTCTGAGGCTGAGGCAGGGAGACAGGAGATCTTAAAACCAGCTTCTCATGGAAACAATCAGTAGAAGTACCTCAGAGTTGCTGCTGCATTAGAGGACTGAGAAGAGAAACAGATCTTAAAAGCAGGTTCTCATGGAAACAATCAGTAGAAGTACCTCAGAGTGGCTGCTGCATTAGAGGACTGAGAAGAGAAACAGATCTTATAACCAGCTTCTCATGGGAGCAATCAGTAAAAGTACCTCAGAGTGGCTGCTGCATTAGAGGACTGAGAAGAGAAACAGATCTTAAAACCAGCTTCTCATGGAAACAATCAGTAGAAGTACCTCAGAGTTGCTGCTGCATTAGAGGACTGAGAAGAGAAACAGATCTTAAAACCAGCTTCTCATGGAAACAATCAGTAGAAGTACCTCAGAGTGGCTGCTGCATTAGAGGACTGAGAAGAGAAACAGATCTTATAACCAGCTTCTCATGGGAGCAATCAGTAAAAGTACCTCAGAGTTGCTGCTGCATTAGAGGACTGAGAAGAGAAACAGATCTTAAAACCAGCTTCTCATGGAAACAATCAGTAGAAGTACCTCAAAGTTGCTGCTGCATTAGAGGACTGAGAAGAGAAACAGATCTTATAACCAGCTTCTCATGGGAGCAATCAGTAAAAGTACCTCAGAGTGACTGCTGCATCAGAAGACTGAGCATGCATGGGAATTTGCAAAGTGCAATGACATCAAATGGGATAGCATAACATAAAAGTACCTTCAAACATCCCTGAACACACAGATCCTGAAAGTAAGGCCACTTGCGTCCACTCAAAGCCGCCCTGGAGCACAGCCGCTCACTGTCCCAACAGAACAAGCCCAGGGTGTACACCAGCATGTTGACCCGGTCGACCCGCGATCCAATCACCAGGCTGCGACCAAACGTCATTAAATGGGACACTATCACCTGCCTCAGAAGCTCCAGCTCCATCGTGTGCGGTGAGATAAAGGCTGTGTAGCTTAACTGGAAAAAACAACAGTTAAACAAATGGTGATCAATCCAACAGTTCAATCATTCATGTTGGGCTATACAGTATAGTAAGTAATACAACTTTCTTGACAATGGCATATATTTTCCTCTCGGCATTACCTAGTTGTAAACTCCGGTGGAAAGTTCTGCGTGTTTATCCACCTCCGGAATTTAGTCTTGTTCCAGAATCTGAGTGTTTGTGCACATCTCTTTCACACATCTAGCTTATTTGTATGCAGACTCTCGGTTCCCCTGCCTTTCAGGCAGACCTATTCTGACTTCGAAGGACATGTAGGACACAAAATTGCCAAAGGTGAACAAAATGAAAAACAAGAAAGTTTCTCCTCTTCTACCCCAAGTGTAGGAGCCAATGATAGTCTTTCTGTGGCAGTTTAATTCTTGCAGGTTTGCAACTAGGGTTATTTCTTGAGACTGCAACTAAGGATTTATCATTTCATCCACTATCACTTCCAGCAACATTTCAAACTATATACAACAGCCAGGGTGGCATAGTGACTAAATACCTGCCTGCCTGCCAAAATGTTCTAGATCTGAATCTGCATTGAGCCTGGGTAGGTCAATACAAAATCCATGAAATGAGCAGGCAGATAGACTGGCCTGTTCTGCACAAATTGGTGGTGAACTGATGTATGACAAGCTGGATGTTGTGAGGGCCCTTTGGGAGCCAGTGAACAGTGCCGAGGAATAGACAGATCATTACGGTCTGAGGAGAATGTCACTGCGAGGAGTTACAAGGGGATCTGGCCGATTTTCTCAGTATGATGCAAGTCTTCAAACTGCTGCCCCTAACGGCTTCGTGATGACAGGTCAAAGGTCAAAAGTTCATATTGCATTTTTATTTCGCTGCTTATGCCGCCCTTCCTCAAAGTACACCTCTCTGTATCATAGCCCGCACAGCCGTGATTTCACTGACCCAGAAGATGTATGAAAGATATTTCTGGGAAAGTTAACTAGAGGAAAATATAGATCATCATCATCATGTAGCAGGGCCTTTGCAGTACGTCGCTCTCATCACGGTCTGCCTGAAAGAAACTTGGTCTCTCACCAGATCTCCCGCCTCATGTACTTTCATACTCAAGGAGTCACTTTTATCCTGTACCCATCTTCGTGTTGGTCGGCCCCTGCCCCTCCTTCCTGATACCATGCCTTCTGCTATTATTTTTTCCAATCCGTCGTGGCGCTTGATATGACCAAAATATTTCAGCTTCCGAGACAGGATGCTGTTCATTAGCCAATCTTCCTTGATGTTCAGATCTTTTAAGATGTCAGTATTTCTCATCTTCTTTGTCTCCAAAATATTCTGAGAATCTTTCTATAGCATTTCAGCCTCAAAAGCCACTATTTTCTTTCAAAAGGACTGAGAGAGAGTCCACGACTCACATCCGTATGTTGCTACAGGGAATATAGTTGGTCACTGCAATAAAGTCCAATCCTTTAATTCCTGGATAATGTGGAATGTTCTCTGGAATTTACCTCTATCTTCTGTGGCAGGCCAACTTCCTGCAAGGAGGAAAGCATGTCCATACACGCCCACAACCATGAAGATAAGTCGGCCAATCCAGACGTTCCAAAATCTTTCTGTTGAATGGACAAAAGTATTTCATCATGTAAGTATAATAATTTAATAATGAAGACATTTCTGTTTCATAATGCTAACATATTCCTATAATTTGAATATGTTAATTTCATGTTATTGATAACAATTATTTTATTATGTAGATAGAATCTTTTCATAAGGAGAACACATTAATTTCATAATGATAAAAATAATTTCATAAGGTAAACAGATTACTTTTAAAGAAGATTGCTTTTCACACTTTCTGTGGCAAAGTGGTCAAGCTGTTTGCTTCAAGCAAACATTTGCCACACACATATTAGAAAATCACGGGAATATGCACAGACAGGAAAAATTCACTAACATGTGTACACAAACAAAGACAAAACACACAGCAGGGCCAAGAAACACACACAGTGCACGAGGGAAAAGAAAATGAGTGAGACAGCGAGTGAGACAGCGAGTTGGACAGATAAAGGGTGACAGAGATGGTGAGAGAGAAAACAGTTAACATGATGGTAAAAGAAAGATAACTCACCTTGACACACATAACCCTGAGCTTTGTTACTATCCGAGTCAGCCAAGCATGAATCAGCTCTGCCTGAGAACACAGATATCACATATCAACACTAACTGAATGTTTAAAACTATTGTCATTATCATCCAATGCACTGCAAGGGTGACGATGCTTTATCTTATGATCTCCGGCATAGTGTATCAATTTGCTTGCTGACACCCTTTTGTGGCATGACAAAATGCAGTCAAAAATAATTTTTCACTGTCTTCCTCTATCTCTCTATCCATAAATTTGTCTACTTATGATAACATGTGCCAGTTTTTTTTTTTTTCTCGTCTTGTAAAGTGGCCAAATAATGACGATGACTGTTTCTATTTGTAAAAAAAAAGGTTGTCTTTGCATCTTCTCCTTGTTCATTACATTGAGATTCATATTGGCTGTTCTAGAGCTGTTGAGGTGTAACAGCTAGACGACTGCCTCTGGCCTGACAGTTGTGGGTTTGAACCCATACAGTATGATTCTTTTTTATTTTAAATGACCTTGGCTCACAGGCTGACTAAACCTTAAATGGCCTTGGCTCCCAGGCTGACTAAACCTTAAATGGTATGCAAAGCCCTGGAGAGTAAAGGTGGTCGCCGTGATGTCGACCAAATCACCCACTGACTGCCGACTGGTCTAAAAAGTATGAGTTTAGCATTATATGCCTGTTATCCCCCTGGCGTAAAAAAGGGTTCTTTACTTTAGTACACTTTTTCGGTTGCCCAAAGTATTTTTAATTCATTATTTTTAGCAGGAGACCATTAATTTAAGTTAAATGTAATTAGCCATCTGGGCATAAATGTCCATTAAAAACACAACAAAGATAAATCCAGTAATATCAAAATACATCCAGGAGGAATCAGAGAAGACAGACAGCTATATAAACACCTTGGTACCAATCAGTATATCTGTACTACTGATCCCTGTTTAGAATTAACTAGGTGTTACTAGTTAACAGTGGCAGCAGTAATGTTATGGAGCAGAGAACAGTGGGTAGAAAGTAAGGGAATGTACAAAGATATCTAGGGAAGGCATGAGACCGCCTGCATACTGAAGGCATAAGGCTGTCTACCTAGAGCTGGCATGAGACCGCCTACCTAGTGTTGGCATGAGACTGCCTACCTAGTGTTGGCATGAGACCGCCTACCTAGTGTTGACATGAGACCGCCTACCTAGTGTTGACATGAGACCGCCTACCTAGTGTTGGCATGAGACCGCCTACCTAGGGTTGGCATGAGACCGCCTACCTAGTGTTGGCATGAGACCGCCTACCTAGGGTTGACATGAGACCGCCTACCTAGTGTTGGCATGAGACCGCATACCTAGTGTTGACATGAGACTGCCTAGTGTTGGCATGAGACCGCCTACCTTGTGTTGGCACGAGACCGCCTACCTAGTGTTGGCATGAGACCGCCTACCTTGTGTTGGCACGAGACCGCCTACCTAGTGTTGACATGAGACCGCCTACCTAGGGTTGGCATGAGACCGCCTACCTAGGGTTGGCATGAGACCGCCTACCTAGGGTCAGCATGAGACCGCCTACATAGGGAAGACATGAGGCCGCCTACCTAGGGAAGGCATGAGACCCCCTACCTAGGGTTAGCATGAGACCGCCTTCCTAGGGAAGGCATGAGGCCGCCTACCTAGGAAAGGCATGAGACAGCCTACCCATTCACCGAGACAATTTTTGAAAAAAATCTGAACAATAAAGAATAAACTGACAAGCCAGGCGTGAGTTGGTTGAGGGTTTATGCTCTATTTCAAGGTGTAAGGTATACAAAAAGAGGAAATGCACACATGTATTACCTGATGCAGGTACAGAGTTAACTCTGAGTTAGGGATGATCAGTGCTAGAGCCTGCAGACCCAGTCCATGGCTGTCCTGGGCTGAGAAGATGAAGGAGGGCACAATGACACCTTTGTCTGGAATGTCAAAGAACTTGAAATCTACCTGTAAGGAAGATGAAAACAACGTATCATTTTCTTGCTCAGGTTTCTCCTCTTCTACCAAGGATTATATACACACCGCAGTTTAGTCCTGTTCCCCGCGTGGGTATCGTGGACCCATTGTGAAAGGAGGAAAATAGACCCACTGTTCCCTAATAAGCATGCTGTAATGCTGCTAAAGATGAGAGCACAGTGCTTATGGGTACGCCCAGAGTGCTGTGATGTCAGTTCTTATCTGAACACTCAAGCATGTCTCAAAAGTCAACTAATTATATATGTTTGCTCAATACTCAGGCAGGTCATAACAGTCGAGTAGTTAGGGATGTTTCCTTTCAAGTCAGAGTATCTGCATGACAGGTGAAAAACCAACAGTCCATATACAAATAAGCTAGTTCTGTAAGATGGATGTGCATGCAAACTATTGTTCTGGGAAAAGAATAAATTCTAGAAGTGGACGAACAACCAGAACTTTCATGAAGAAATCAATTTTTTTTTCTATTTTTCCTGGCTTGTAGTGCAATAGCTTGTGCATGAGCCGTTTGCTCAATAGTCAAACTTTTGAATCCAACATGAAGCTGCAATTTTTTTTTCTTTTCCACCTAGTCTTGTAAATTGTGAGTCACGGTGGTGTTGCGGCTACATGCCCGCCTGAAGGTCTTGGTTCAGGATCCGTACCAGATTTTTCTTCTCCAAAAATTACTTTGGCTAACAGGCTCATCTAGCCCAAAATGAGTACCAGGTAAAATTCTGGGAGGTAAAACTGGCCGGCATGATGCTGACCACAACATCCATCAAGCGCTGATTGGCGTATACAAAATATTATTGGTCTGGCATGAAAAAGGTCCTTTACTAGTAAGTGGATCCAGCCTCAGATTAGTGCAAGGAAATGTTTGGGTTAGTAAAAGCAGCTGCCATGGTATTAACCACATTACTGGCTGACTTTCTGATGCATAACATGGAATTTTTCTTCTTTGTTCATTGGCTGGCAGCTCCAGCAGAAAGTCCAGGTTGTTCGTCTATTTGGACTCTGCCTTTGTGCCAGCGCCTGAGTTTTGCATACACATCCATTTTACTGGCATATTTGTATACAGCTGGTTGCTCCTCGCCAATCTGGTAGATGCACTCCGACTTCAAAGGAAACACCCCAATTAGTTGACTCCTATGACATGCTTGTTGGGGAGGCAGTGGGTATATTCTTGTTTTCCCCAAAATGGGGCCCCGAACCCACATGGTGAATAAAACAGAACATCTGAGCTTCCATAGCAGACACCGAATCTCACGCAACTTATACCTCATAATAACCTGATGTCAAAAGGGAGAATGGGGTCTAGAGCAGGCATGTCAAACTGAGGGTCCCACGAGGGTCATACGGGTCACATTTGGTCATCATGAGGGCCACACACAACAACTAATTGGAGTCATTTAATAAAATCACTGCAGAATATTTCCATTGTGCGGTCCGCAGATGTGCTTGCAAAGAGCTGCATGCATCCCATCAGTTTGACATGTCTGGTCTAGAGAAAAGAAGAAAAAGATTCACTGAGTTTCAAAAGGATTTATATAGAAAATGTAGAAAAATATACTTCATACTTATCATCATCATGTAACTGATCCTTAGCCGACTGTCCTCATCATGGCATGCCAGAATGTCACTTGACCCCCCTGAAAATGTTCCGCCCTTCTGAACTTTCATGTCTAGAGTGTCCTTCGTATCCTATGTCCACTATCATGATGGTCAACCCCTGCCTCTCTTCATTTGGAAATGAGCCCTTAAAGTTTTAATTACTGTACAAAACACAACACAAGCAACATACATACCTGGCTGGACTGGACATCACGACAGATTTCCCCACTCAGCACCTGGTTAGTGACAAACCGTAGAATATTTGTGTGTGGTTGCGGCCGCCCGGTCACATACCAGACATGCTCCAGCTTGGGACCAAGTATGTTATCCCAGTGACACAGCAAGAGAGCATCCACAAAACTATGCTCGATGTTCCCAATGGAAGAGACGGAAAATCCTGAGCTGGGACTCATTGGAGTACAATCATCATGAAATGAATTCTCAGAGTTAACTGTCATAACCCCAGAATCAGAATGAAAACTTGGAGATGTTACATTATTTGACTGCATAGATTTATTAAATGCCATTCTCCTACTTCAGAAATTGTAGTATTTTGCAGAAAATCGTTACAAACAGACTGATATATAATTAAATATATGAAGTTAATTTAAGATTACCTCAGACGCTTCTAAACAATTAAATGTTTCATTAGCTTATTTACATCTGGTAAACTGCTTTGATCTCTGTTTGCAGTCGAATAGACTCCACAAGAAAATTGGCGATGACTAAATCAATGAAGATAAAACTGAGGGCCATCATGGACAAGGAGGTCATCAAGTCTTGGTGAGTCTGGGAGGTATTGGTCATCAGCATGATCACTAAGACAAAAGAGAGTACCACCACGGAAAAGAAAGCGTAGTTGACACAGAGAATAACCAGTGCCTCTCGATTGACAAACTGCATGTTGATCCCCCCACGAAGGAAAACAACTTCATTCCAAAACATTGGTGCGGCTACACTCTGGTAATCCTCGCCTTTCATAAATAAATCTGTCACAGCTCCATGTCCTCGTCAGTCACTCTGTAAAATAAAGGTAATGACAAAAAACAATTTGGTAAATAAAGATCAAACTTAATATGAATATACTGTTTTTGTATCTTACGTGCAGGACTGTATAGACACATGACAGTCAAATTAGGATTTTCTTTTTTCTATCTAAGATTGCAGATATGTCTGACAATACTGATTAGTCTCTTCTTGTCTATCATGGAGTGTAGATAAAGCTGGCTTAACGTGTTTAGTCTCTCCTTGCCTTTTATGGAGTGTAGTGAAAGCTGACTATCGTGTTTAGTCTCTCCACTTCTGCCTCCACATGTCAATATACATGGCCAGCACTTTTTTCCTGGGAAAATAAGTGCCGGTACTCACCACCAATAGTAAAAATAAGTGCCGGTACTCACCACCAATAGTAAAAATAAGTGGTGGTACTCACCACCAATAATAAAAATAAGTGCCGGTACTCACCACCAATAGTAAAAATAAGTGCCGGTACTCACCACCAATAGTAAAAATAAGTGCCGGTACTCACCACCAATAGTAAAAATAAGTGCCGGTACTCACCACCAATAGTAAAAATAAGTGCCGGTACTCACCACCAATAGTAAAAATAAGTGCCGGTACTCACCACCAATAGTAAAAATAAGTGCCGGTACTCACCACCAATAGTAAAAATAAGTGCCGGTACTCACCACCAATAGTAAAAAAAGGTGCCGGTACTCACCATAAAATGTCTGTTACAGCAGCACTAAACAAATTGTGCCTAAAAAAAGGTGTCAGTACTGTGTACTGTTGTGTACAGTTGTGTACTGCTCGAATGAAAGCCCAGTATATCCTTTTCTTCTCCTTCATGTTCACTGGCTGTAAACTCCAGCAGAAAGTTTTGGTTGTTTGCCCACCTCTGGACTTAAGTCTTGTTCCAGAACCTGACTTCTGCATGCACATCCGTTCAACAGATCTGACTTAATTCTATGCAGACTTTTGGTTCCCTGCCTCTCAGGTAGATGCACTCTGACTTCAAAGGAAGCCCCCAGTTAGTCAACTCTTTAATACATGCTTGTCGGGGAGGTAATAGGTCTTTTCTATTTTCTTGTATTCCAAAATGCAGCCCCAGAAGCCACACAGGAAAAAACACTGTATGATATGACAATCATGTATGTTTATCATCTCCTCTTTTACCCTGGTGCTGAATTGTGGTGCTGACTCAAAAAAATATCAGGAAGGGGCAGGCTGTGTGCTACACCCCCCGCCTTTTGCATTACGAATTTTCTTGGCAATGGATGGGGAGGGGGGAAGGGTTTAGTAGTTTAATCCTAGTTTAGGAGCACAATAATTATTATAAGAAATAACTGAATCAAAAGCCAACACAAAATATTATGAAATAATAATTTCTTTTTTTAGCATTCTCTCAACTCTGGTGGAAAGTTCTGGTTTTCTTTTGTCATCTCACTGATGCCAGGTTGCAGCCCAGTGTTGTGGTTTTGGGTATTTATCTTGTGCTTCCTGGGTGAGTTGGGTGATGGATTTGTTCATCGTTTTTTTAAGGTCTTTAATGCTGCCAGTAGGATATCAAGAGCCTGCTGTGTAAACTTCAGACTGTTCACTTTAAATGTATAGTTGTTCAACCACTTCTGGACTTTAGTCTTGTTCCATAACTTGAGTGCTGCGTGCACATCCGTTTCACATATCTGGCTTAGGCGGCTTAGCTGCATGCAGACTGTAGGTTCCTCGAACTCTCAAGCAGATATTAGAATAGATATACTCCGATTTCAAAGGAAACACTCCCGATCAGTCGACTTTTATAACGGATCCCATGCGGGGAATTTAAACAAAATAAAATGCATATGCCTACCAATACTTTTAAAGAAAATCATTGTACGTGTTAAGTAAGTAGTCTTTGAGACTGAGTCAATCTTGTTCACATGACTGACTGACCTCGCACCGTTCGAAAAGTCTACTAGGTCAATAATGTAGACAGTTGTGCATCACTTACACACATAAAATACACATTCCTTCCAAAAATAGAAAGTATCCGTTCTACCTTCTACCAAACATGAACTGAATGTCGAGCGAAAACCCTCAGTTAGAGTGTACTATCCAGAGACCATTGTAATCTCATCTTCGGTTCTGCTGCTCAAAGTTGTGCAGAAACAGTGGCCATATTTTCCCAGCTGTACAAGTAGAATCTAGATACAGAGTCAATTACCATGTAATAATTTTACAGTTTTAATACCAGTTCACGTTTTTCTAATACAATTAGTCATAGAATTGCTGTAAATTATCTAGTAAGTTTTTTATTTTTAATGTTGTGTAGTTGCAATACAAATTTTTGTTCCAACATTTTTTTTCAATTACCAAAAGGCATATTAAGCGCAACTATGCCCAAATCTAAAAGTATGCAGCAAGTAAACAGTAATACAAGCGACATATTTCAACACTGTCTTCTTCTTCTTCTTCTCATTCTTTATTTTATTGTCTTATTTGTTCTAACCATTGCGGTCTGAAGTGCTGACACTCAACACTCAAAGGTAAGGCAAGAGAGACTGCCACTGGTTCCATGAAAAATCACTGCGATGGCTGCTAGAGGTGGGGACGGAGTGCTTGTGGGAATGTCCCGAGTGTTGTCATGTGCGTTCTTAATCACCTGAACTCACAAAGCAAGGCTCGTTGTAACTGACAAGAGTTCGACAAACTGGGAATATATATATATATATATATATATATATATATATATATATATATATATATATATATATATATATATATATTAAAGTAGTAATTAGCCTTATAATGATAAAAGAGTAGAAAGTAATCACCCTTTCTTCTTCTCCTCCTCCTTTGTGTACATCTTAATCCCCCGCCCACCTTTTATTCTTCTTCTTATCCTCCTCCTTTTTAGTTTCACTCTACTATTATTCATTACTCTTCATTCGTTTAAATCTTGTCATTATCCTCCTCTCTGTTATTCTTCATTTCCCCCACCATATCTTGCTGCTTCCTCTATTCATTTGTAAATGAAGATACCATTTATGCACGTACACTTTCTTGTACCTCGCCTCCACAGTCACATGAATGATTGCAGGTTACTTACGTTAATCTGCGGTAAGTTTCGGATATTGCGGTTTCTCTTCTGCTACGACAACATTAGAGGAAACATGGCGGACACCGAAGGCGTGGTAACTAGCACAGTAGAAAACTTGACGGAGTCTGTTGCTAATGCGCCAGTAAAACCGCCTGCAACTCCAGAAGGCATACTAGTATCATGTGGAAGTTTGTTTCTCATGGCAATCATACCCGTTTTTATTGGATCCTTTCGTTCTGTGACCTACCATAAGGAACAGCAAGTAAAAGTCTTGTTTTCGTTTGTCAATTTGTGTCGTCTGCTGGCCATTAAATTAATAGCATTATTATTATTATTATTTTATTCGCGAAGACGTGTATTAAATTTGAATTTATGAGAATCGGCTTCATTTCACCAGGTTTTATCGCATATGTTTCTGTCGTAGAGTGGCAAGCTGCCTGTGAGTATTGTCACACAAAGTACGAACTCTGAAGCTTCTTACTTAGACGATCCCGACTGATTCTGATATCCTAAAAAATTGCACTCATGAGTGAACCACCCTTAAAAGACCAGACCTAGTCAGCATTTTTCACTTTCACACAGGTCACTGCAGACCATACAAACACTTATAAACTAAATACGAGCCTAACATGCTAAACAGAGCAACTTACCCCAGATTATGACTTGCAAGACTGCACTGTTCTGGACGAACTACAAAACGTCTTTTTCTAAAGTTCACCAACTGTAAACTGCAGAGGAAAATTCTGGTTGTTCATCCACGTCTCTTTTTTAACAGACCTGACTTATTTGCATGCAAACTGTTGGTTCCCCGTCTCTCAGGCAGATGCACTCCAGCTTTGAAAGAAAAACTCATAGTTAGTCACCTTTGGCTCTCCTTGCAACTACGGCCACATATTGGGGGAGTACGCCGGAGTTCAGTCCCCTGGCCGCAATGCAATTACGGAGTGGAAAAGAGGGAACCAAACAAATGACGTAATTAGTGTGTGGTAACGATAGACAGTGTGAGCGATAGACAGCGTGCAGTGCACTGCTGCCACCATACATCATAGGGTTTGGGTTAGGGTTGGGTGCAGTGCACTGCTGTCATCATAGGGTCAGGGTTAGGGTTGTGATTCGTTCCTTCTCCATTCCTTAATTGCAATGCGGCCAGGGGACTGAACTCCGGCGTACTCCTCCAATATGTGGCCATAGTTGCAAGGAGAACCGTCACCTTTTATGACATGGGGGGGGGGAGTGCATTTGCTCTCCAACCGCGACCACCCATTCCCTCAAAAAGGGTCTGGAACCCACATAAGGAGCTACAAAGCAACATGCAACAACGTTCAGTAAACCTGACAACTCAGTTTAGGAAGAACCTAAAAGACCTTTAGATTCGTCCTTGTTTGTGGCCCATAGTGAATTAAGCACATGAAGAAGAAGAGTGAACCCTGACTACGAGGTATTGTTGTTCCAGCCTCTTCCCAACAATCCAGGAGACAGTCTCAGCTCAGTGCAGTAACCCTGGAGCACCAGCAATGATCCACTTACCAGTATACCTGATCCATTTTGGCCTCCTGTTCTATTTCCAACTTTTCAAGGGGTTTTTATCAAATTCATTTTTTTTTCCAACAAAACACAGACAGACAGCAGTGAATTACCCTGACTACATTCACATACATAAGGTAGTTAAATTTTTCTGTCATGATCACTTGCATATAAACCTGAATGCCAACAAATGTACATATGAATGTTGTCCATTATAGCTTCAAATTCCTCCTTCTCCCCTTTCTCTGCTTGATTTCCTTTCTCTTCTTTTTCTTTCTCTGCCTTGTATCCCTCAGTTCCCTGTGTGGGTTCCAGAGCTCCATTGTGGAAAAACCAAGAACGGATCTCCTGTTCCCCAACAACCATGTCATAGAAGTTGACCAATTGGGAGTTTCCTTCGAAGATGGAGCACATCTATCCCAGTGGCAAGGAACAACCAGCTGCACAAAAATAAGCCAGTAAAACAGATGTGCACACAAAACTCAGGCCCTGGTACAAAGCCTAAGTCTGGATGGACGAACAACCAGGACTTTTCGCCGGAGCTGACAGAAGGAAGAAGAAAAATTCCTCAGTGTAGCATTGAAACCTCTCTAAACAACTCACACTATTTGATCTTTTACCATCTCCTCCCATTCTCTTTATTCTCTTCTTATAATTGTTTTCTAATTATCTCCCTATTTAAAAATGTGTATCCCTCTTTTTTTCCCATAGTATAGTAAAAGTAAAAAGAAAGTAAAGGTCCCTTTTCCACGCCTTTAGGCGTATAGGGCTAGACCTATATTTTTATAGACTAATTGGCACAAGATAGGTTATGTGGTCAGCATCACGCCGGCTGCTTTTACTTCTTGAGACTGCGCCCGGTACCCACTCAAGGCTGGGTCGACCTGGGAGTCAAGGTCATTTTTTTTATAAGTCCGGCTCCGCAAGGAAGAGAACCCACGACCTTCCAATCCGCACTTGAGCATCTAGCCGCTACGCCACGGCGACTCCCAGGCTGTATAGAAATGACATTCTAGATAATGTTTTAGTTCCAAGTATTGTTAATTGCTGTAGTTTGAAAGGTTAAGTTTAGTTAACCCCTACTTCATGACCATGCAGGAATCAGGAGAAAAGCCAGAAACCATGTCACATAAAGATGCTGCTATGTTCCCCATTATTGCAAGCTGTGCTCTCTTTGGGATCTACATTGTGTTCCAGGTGAGATCTTTTCTTCCCTTCTGTTATCTGTCATCACCCAGTAGCCAGCTTGTATCAACCAATGTGTAGGCTTGATTATGATTGTTTGGAGTTCATGAAGTTTACTATGGAGCGCATCTGCCTGAGTGGCAAGGAACAATCAACATAAATAAGCCAGTAAAATGGATGTACACACAAAACTCAGGCCCTGCAGCCAACTTGTATCAACCAATTTGTAGTCTTGATTATGATTGTTTGCAGTTCCCATATAAAGTTTACTATGGTCATAGGCAGCATTTGGGGGGGGGGGGGGTGATCTCGAGGCATGGCATCCGCCTCAAGTGCTAAAGGTCCTTGGTTTGGGCCCTGTTAAAGGCTGGAATTTTTTTACGTGGACTTCTGGTAATTTCCTCTGGTCTCTGGGTAGTAGTATTGTTGCACACGTTAAAAAAAAATCCCTTGGCAATTAAAAATCAAAAAGACTAGCCTAACGGCTCTGTCTGGGCAAAATGTTGAGGTAAAAATTTACTCAAAATATTTCAGGATCCTCACCAGTGCTACGGAGCTCATGCGCTGTGAATCTTCGGGCTCAGGCTCGAGTCTGCAGTTAGTTTCAGGTGGTCATATACAGGCCGAACAAAGGCAGGTCATAACACCCCTAGACTGCAGGATTGTCCCGGGGAATTGCCAATTAAATCTCTCACCGGAGGAAATGGGCTGATAAACCTGAATAGAACCCGCCACTGACTATAGGAAAAGGTGACTGTCCATCTTGTTGTGGTAGAGGGACTTGTGAGTTTCAACATCCCGAAGAGATATGCCAACACTAGCTTAGCTGCTGCTTTTAGTTCTTGCATGTCAGACAGGTCATAGATAGGAACCAGACAGAGACAGGCGTCTTATCATTGAGTCGAGGATTTGGAATTAAGTGTTCACAGATGACTGTAGCTATTTCCTTCAATGGGAAAAAATTGAGACCTCTAGAATAATAAAAAGCAATGTTAAAGAGCTCCTGAAAGAAAGGAAAATAAGAATGACAACATGGTTAGGACACATAACTACATGGTTGGGTCACATAACAACATGGTTAGGTCACATAACAGCATGGTTAGTTCACATAACAACATGATTAGGTCACATAACAGCATGGTTAGGTCACATAACAGCATGGTTAGGTCACATAACAGCATGGTTAGGTCACATAACAACATGATTAGGTCACATAACAACATGGTTAGGTCACATAACAACATGGTTAGGTCACATAACAACATGGTTAGGTCACATAACAACATGGTTAGGTCACATAACAACATGGTTAGGTCACATAACAGCATGGTTAGTTCACATAACAACATGATTAGGTCACATAACAGCATGGTTAGGTCACATAACAGCATGGTTAGGTCACATAACAGCATGGTTAGGTCACATAACAACATGGTTAGGTCACATAACAACATGGTTAGGTCACATAACAACATGGTTAGGTCACATAACAACATGGTTAGGTCACATAACAACATGGTTAGGTCACATAACAACATGGTTAGGTCACATAACAACATGGTTAGGTCACATAACAACATGGTTAGGTCACATAACAACATGGTTAGGTCACATAACAGCATGGTTAGGTCACATAACAGCATGGTTAGGTCACATAACAGCATGGTTAGGTCACATAACAACATGGTTAGGTCACATAACAACATGGTTATGACACATAACAACATGGTTAGGACACATAACAACATGGTTAGGTCACATAACAACATGGTTAGGTCACATAACAACATGGTTAGGTCACATAACAGCATGGTTAGGTCACATAACAGCATGGTTAGGTCACATAACAGCATGGTTAGGTCACATAACAGCATGGTTAGGTCACATAACAACATGGTTAGGTCACATAACAACATGGTTAGGTCACATAACAACATGGTTAGGTCACATAACAGCATGGTTAGGTCACATAACAACATGGTTATGTCACATAACACCATGGTTAGGTCACATAACAACATGGTTAGGTCACATAACAACAAAACAATCTAATATTTTTAAAACCACTTTAAAAAAAAAAAACTACAATAATAGGAAAAGGTTCAGGGCCGAAAAGCCAAAGAGCATAACACTTATAAATGGACAGATAAAATTAATATGGTCTATGTACAGCCTGTTTCTCTTCTTAGCATTTACCCGCTGGAAATTCTGGTTGTTTGTCCACTACTGAGCTTTGGTCTTCTTCCAGAACTTGAGTTTCATGTGCACATCAGGTTTTTCATATTTCTGGCTCATTTGGATGCAGACTGTTGGTTCCTAGCCTCTCAGGCAGATGCACTCCAACTTTAAAGGAAGCACTCCAAATTAGTCACCTTTTACTTCATCTGAGTGGAATGGGTCTTGTATTTTTCCCGCAGGATAGAGCCCCAGAAAAGCCTAGCATAATGTTTATTTCAGGACATAACTGGAAAGATCCATTACCTTCCTCTGACAGTGATGATACAGCGCTGCTGCAGGATGATGATGTCCATTCTCAATACCATTATGCTGTTTATTTTATTAAAAGATTATTTCTTTGTTGCTTACATATTGATTACATCTTTTTTGTTGCTTACATATTGATTACATCTTTTTTTTTGTTTACATATTGATTACATCTTTTTATTTTAGATCTTCTCCAAAGAGTACATCAACTTACTGTTGACCGCATACTTCTTCTTCCTGGGTGTGCTGGCACTTGCTCACATCGCTGGGTAAGTTCTTTCTTCCTATTGTGCATGTGTGTTTTATTTTAACGTACACAGTTTGGGGTCTTTGCTAGTGCTGCACAACACTGAGTTATTCTCTAAGTGTGACTTCTTCTTCTTCTTCTTCTTCTTCTTCTTTTTCTTCTTCTTCTCCTCTTCCTCCTCCTTCTTCTTCTTCTTCTTCTTCTTCTTCTTCTTCTTCTTCTCTTCTTTTTTTCTTCTTCTTCTTCTTCTTAGCATTGACCGGCTGTGAACTGTGGTGAAACTTCTGATTGCTCATCCACCTCTGGACTTTGGTCTTGGTCGGGAACAGGAGTTTTGCATCTGCATCCATTTTACAGATTTGCCTATTTGTATGCAAACTGTTGGTTCCTCATCTCTGAGGCAGATGCACTCCAACTTCGTTGGAAACTTCCCTAATTAGTGGACTCTTATGATATGCTTTTTAATGGGGAGTGGGTCGGCCTCTTAACATGCATATGATAGAAGGTGACTAGTTTAAGGTTTACTAAAACTGGATGTGTCGAGCCGAAGGGTAACATTATCACAGAATAGCTTTTTCTTCTTCTCTCTAAAGTCCATGTCTGTCCACAACTTACTATCTCGTGTACTTTCAGTCAGCTCTGACACAGATGATCCCCCATGTCATGTTGTCAAACTGTCCAGCATCTTCGCTTTAGCCTTCCTTCCCCCCCCCCCTTTTTCCCTCCATGTTTCCTACTGTCACTGTGTACTCTGGTTTTCTCCTTCTTATCAGAATGTAGATTGTCTCTTTCTGATGTGGGCAGTCAGTTCTCTTTGTGAGTCAGTTTCTTTCAAGACGTCTTCATTATTCTTTTTATCTGTCCAGGTTATTCTCATCATCCATCTTTAAAACCACATATATATATATATCCTTTTGTCTTTCAAACCAGTCTTAATTTTCATATGTAGATTTACATATCCTTTTTTCTGTCAAATCAGTCTTCATTTGCATATGTACATTTAGATATCCTTTTTTTCTTTCAGACCTGTCTTCAGTAAGCTGTTTCCTGCATCGTTTCCCAACCAGGAATACCATCTGATCCTGACGCAAGGGGCACCTCCCAAGAAAGAAGGTCAGTAAAATATATGTGTATATTTCTGTCTGTCTTTAACTCTTTCAGTTTTGTATAGTTGTTAATTCAACTATTTATATCCTCAAGGTGGTTTTTTTTTTTTTAAATTTAGAGTAATGATCTTTGAATGATAAATATCCCGCTTACATAACACCCTCTGAAAAAGAAAAGAAAAAACAAGAACTTCAAATATTTAGGAAGCATAATATCATCTCTTACGGTGTCCTGCCACAGAATACCCATTCATACTTGAACATTAGAGGTTCTGAATTCATGTGACATCTCAAGATAAAGAAACTGGACAGGAAGTGCGTGGCATTTTTCATAGCACCATATCATTCTCTTGTTTCAGACCTACTGAATTACCAGTTTGACAGGAAAGATTTGGTCACCCTGGCAATCTGTGGTATAATTGGACTGTGGTACTTGATAAAAAAGGTAAATTGAAGACCTGTTTGAGTATGTGTGGGATGGGAGAGTTGAGGTTAGGTGTAAATGTTTGCATTGGGTGTGTAAGCTTATGTCCACGGCAATTAGATAATGATTTTATTATGACGAAGATAAAAATGCCATCCGTGAAAGAAAGGACCTCTTCTAAACAAGCAACGTTCATCTGTGATCAGGCAAAATTACATCACCACTCCGCCAGCAGATGACAGATTTAGCTAGTGAGAGATGTGTGGTAGCCTATGCAACTTTGAGCATAAAAGCAGACATTTAATTCTGAACTTGGAAAAGATTGATGAGACAAGTTTATGGGGATGAGTGTTTTTTTTGTGTGCACAAATATTCAGGTGTTATTCTGATTCAAAACTAGTATGGAAGTGATTGAAGATGAAGCTAGGCTGGTATGTCCAATTTCTGGTTGTAATCGTAAACACATTACCAGAGAATTTTTACGCAGATCCCTGGAGATCGTCGCCGGAGCTACAGATTTCATGCTGTGTGCGGCACTTTCAGCAGGTGGATAGCCGTTCTGCAGAGAGAGACCAAGCCATATGGGATAAAACCGTGTGCAGTGAAGTCGATCCTCTAGGCTCTAACTTTAAGAGAATGGATACGCAGAGATTAATGTCTGACTGTGAGGATAATGGCAGGTATTTAGGATATTAACCAAATGCCGATCCATAAAACTGGTATGGAACATTTTGGCAGGAAAAAAGTCATCTTGTTCCTTCTTCCCCCCTCTCCCCTCCCCAGGTAGGGGGGGGGGGGGGGGTGTGTAGGGCTACCTGAAGATTTGACACCCTAAGAGAATAAAAAATCTTAATCTCGATGACAGAAAAACAAGGCACATACCCTGTTCAACCTCCAGAGAAGTTATAATCAGGTCACGCATAAGGACTCCACCAGCCTGGTGTTACCTGCAGACTGTGTTGGTAAGGACAAATGCATGAATCCTGTCACTTTTTTTCCATGGCGAAGGGGTCAAGCCCGTTGTCTCATGCTCTGAAAGTCGTAGGCTCATTTCACAGCTGCACCATTCACTTCACAGGTGTAGTTGTTGTGAAGATCCTTACAGATTGTTGCTGGAGGGAAAATTCCAGCTTTGTGTGGTTATCCCTTGTGCGCAGAAAGACCAGGCCATATGGGATCAAACCCTGTGCAATGAAGTTAATCATCTTGACTTTAACTTTAACCTTGTTTATACCCCCTTCTTTGTCTGATGACCATAAACGTGCATGTTTTGGGTTCGTCAAGGTCTACAAAGGTGAGGATCCACTGACAGAGACCCTATAGATGTAAACTCATTACATATGATCATCTGGTGTTGAAGTTATTCTTCTTAGTTTTCACGGCCGTAAACTCCAGCTGAAAGTTCTGGTTGTTCATCCACTTCTGGACTTATGGTCTTGATCTAGCATTGACCGTTATGTACATGCACATCCATTTTACATATGTGGCTTATTTGTTTGCAGACTGTTGGTTCCTTGCCTCTCAGCCAGAAACACTCTCACTTTAAAGTAAACAGCCCAAATTAGTCCCCTTCTGTGATGTGCTCGTTATGGATGCATTGGGTGTATTCACCCTCCCCCCCCCCCTCCCCCCCACCCAAAAGCGTCCTGGTGCCCACAGAGGCAGAAGGCATTATTTGCATTGATGTTTTATATTTATGTATTTACACACACACACACAATCCTGTCTCCAGCACTGGATAGCTAACAACCTGTTTGGTGTTGCTTTCGCTGTCAACGGTGTGGAGTTGCTGTCCTTGAACCGAGTTACAACAGGCTGCATTCTCCTGGGCGGTCTCTTCGTCTATGATATTTTCTGGGTAAGAACTCGTGGTACATGTGTTCTGATGTTGATAGAAAACTGTATGGAGACAAGAAAAGGGTACCAGGGCATTTTTGGGGATGTAGAATGACATGAATTATGTTGACTCTGCAAACTGTAGACTGCATGTGGAATTTTTTTTTTTTTTTAAATCTTTTGTACCCACTGCATGTTGTTGACTGCTCTAAAATGGCAGCTGACTGATTATGTTCACAATGTCATGTACTTTTTTTGCGGGTGCAATGCCAACTTTCATGACTGCCCATTTGTACCAACAGTAATCTACATTTCTTGTGTGGGACCTGTAGTGTTGGAACATCTGACAGCTGCATTTTTACTTTGCATTTGCAAAGATTTTGCTGGGACTGATAAGTTTCTCTTTAATTTTAAAATCAGACAATGGAGAATATTTTGTGTGTTGTTTCTTCTTCTGCTTTCATCAGTCTGTGTGTTGTTTCTTCTTCTGCTTTCGTGTTTTCCTCTGGCACAGGAATGGAGCAGTTATGGGCAAGTGGTCTGCAGCTATGTTGGAACATTTGACTAATGAGTGGTGACACAGACCTGTGACTCTCAGTTAACTAAGATCTGCAAACACATCTATTTTCTAAGGTCTGCCATTACTCTGTACTTTTCAGTAGTTATGCTGAAACACTTTTCTTCTTCTTCTTCTTTGAGTTTGTCCGAGTGATGTAGTGCATTGTGCCTGTTTACAGCAAAGCTGTGATATTTGCTACTTTCTGCCATCACATCTGACTTCATCAAGCATTTATTATCTTGGCTTTCACCGGCTGTAAAAGTTCTGGTGTTAGCCGCCTCTGAACTTTAGTCTTGCTCCAGAATCTGATTATTGTGTGCACATCCATTTTACAGTGTGACTGATTTGTATGCAGATTGTTGGTTCCTTGCCTGTCAGGCAGATGTACTCAACTTCAAAGGAAGCTCTCAATTAGTCAACTCTTGTTGGGGAGGCAGTTGGTCTAGTCTTTTTTCCCTCACATGGAGTGAGCATTTGTTGTCTGGGTTAACTTCCCTGATAAAGAACTTATTAAAATGTCAAAGTACCGGAAAACCTGATAACATGAACTTGCTTAAGACCAACACTCTGTTAACGTGAACAAATTGTGCTCACTGCAGGGATGTATTATTCATAATTCTTTGTAAGTCCCTGGTAAGCCCTTTTTTTTTAACACAAACTCTTGATTTTTTTCTCTCTTAAAATTCATGTTAACAAAGTTTTAATGTAATGAAAACGTTTTTTTAAAAAAATGCATTTGAAAGTGAAATTTTTGTTTTTGTGTGTGTGTGAGTGATATCTTGTACCCTGTAAATCTGTTCTGGGGGTCTGTGAAGCCCTAACTGGGGAAGACTGATCAAGACAATATCCATTACTAAGTGCTGATTAGTTTATATGAAACAATGGTTTGTAATCGACTTCAGGGGGTGCCCCCTCCCCCCCCCCCCCTTTTTTGTGTCCTAATTGTTGAATACATGACAAGCCCCTTCCCCCCAGATGTGATTAAAAAGAGAAGGACAAAAAAGAAAAACCCAAGCATGCTATTATTTATGTTTTTTTTTTGGTAGGTGTGCAAACCGCTCTTGGAAACAAAAAGCTTCTTGGTTTTTTGTTTTATGAATAGTTTTAAAAAAATATGTTTTCATAATTTAACTGAAAAAATGTTAGGATAACAGATTATTACAAGTATAATTGCAATTTCAGAACTGCTTCATTCCGTCCTTGACACTTCCTTTCAGAAGGAATTAAAGAACTAAGAAAGGAAGCAGTCATTAATAATGGCTGAATAAACAAAAGTGTCACTTTTCAACATGAAACTGTGACAGTCTAGAGTTCTTCACTGATGTACCTTAGTGTTCACACCCCCAGTTTGAGAACCACTGATATAAAACCAAAATTGAGAAAGCATCATATACCCAGTATGCTTCATGGCTTGGAAAAGAGTGCTCACACTTATTGTATGACTATATTTTTATTGCAGGTTTTTGGCACAAATGTCATGGTGACAGTTGCAAAATCATTTGAAGCACCAATCAAATGTAAGCTAGCTCATTCTAGTGTTTTTTCGTTGTCTCTTAAGCTCATATATTGATATCATTGGAAATAGAGAGATTGATTGTTCAAATTTACCAAACTTTTTTTATAATCTTCTTTCCTTTAGTTTCTGTTTAGCTTTCTTTCGTATTTCTTTCTTCTGGTCTGTCTGTCTTTCTGACCTCTTCTTTTATTATTGCTGAATTTGCCTTTTTATTCTCCCCTGTGTATATCTTTTTCTTTCTATCTGTATGCTCACACCTTTTGTGACCCCTCCCCTTGTTTTCTGTTGTCTGTCTCTCTTATTTGAGTTCTTTCTCTGTCACTTTTACTCCCCTCTCTCTCACTCACTCATTATTCATTCTCAGATGCACTCTTTCACTATCATGAACTCTCTCTTTCATTATGTAAATCTATGTTGTTCCCGATTACATTCTCTCTCATGATCTTTCTCTTTTTCTATCTTTCTTCTTCTAAGATATCTGAATTTCTGTCTTCCTCACTCCATCCATATCTCTCTCTCTCTCTCTCTCTGTCTATATCTTTATGTATATAATGTGTGTACACCAGAGAGATAAATGGTCGTAGACCACGAGGCAGACTAAGAAGAAAATGGAGAGATAATGTCCAGACAGACCTGCAAACACTTGGTGTTACCAACCGGAAAGAGAAGGCCAACCAGAGTGATGAATGGAGATGGGCAATATCTGCAGCGATGAACTTCAAGAGCTCGGAATGCTGAAGAAGAAGAAGAATATAATGTGTTAAGATTCCCTAATCGTGTACAAGTTATTTATTTCTGCTTCGTTCATATATTCCAGTGGTATTTCCTCAAGATATTTTGGAGCGCGGTCTGGCAGCAGATAACTTCTCCATGTTGGGGCTTGGGGATATCGTCATACCTGGCATATTTGTTGCTCTGCTGTTGCGCTTTGACATGAGGTATATGGTGTTGTTGTTGTTGTTGTCTGCATGTTATCGAGGCAACAAATAAGGCCAGCAAAGAATAGTAACTGTGAAACTAGTTTTTGTTCTCTTCTTCTGCACTTAATACCCCTCCCTTTGCCAGTAGGGCATAGTAACTGAGTCTTCTTCTTCTTCTTCACTAGCTGTAAACTCTGGCAGCAAGTTCTGGTTGTTGATCCACTTTTTGACTTCAGTCTTGATCCAGAACTTTAGTATTGTGTGTGCATCCATTTTAAAGATGTTGTTTTATTTGTATGCAGACTTGATTCCTAGGTACCTCTGCTGATTCTTCCCATGAGGAGTTGGTTATGATGTCTGATGTCTTCTATCTCAGCTTCGAAGGCGGCATATGATGTGCTTCACCACATGATAGTTAATTCATTCAGTAGCATGTCCCTCGCGGAACCTCGTCTGCAGAGCTGTCAAATGTTTTCTTATCAAGCGTTTACTTTTTTGAATTATTGTGTCAAGATACATCATTTTTCACAATGGAAATATACACCAGTGTAATCGTTGTTCTGCCGTGCATCGAGTGAAATAGCTTTTGAATAATTTCTGTGTTATATCACTATTAAAAATGTGTTTTTTGTAAACATTAATACAATAATGGAAAACCCTGTGACCAATCAGCGATCATGGTGTCTTTAAACTGACCAACCACCACGATACAGGTGTTTTGAAACCAGCATCAGGCGCGATGCAATGGGTTGTGAACTATTGACCTCCTAGGCCTAGTATGTAGGACAGGAATGTCGGACGGTGAAAACTTAACTGTTGAGATTTTGGAAGGGAGGGGAGGGCGCGCTGGTCTTCGACCTGGCGTCACCAAAAACTACACACTTAACTCAGAGCGTGCTGTTCGACGTAAAACTCGACCGTTGTCAGTATGAGCTAGATATTACCATCGAAAATTCCAATGAGGGGAAATGTGCTGCAGTAAAATTCAACAACACGATACATTATGAATCGTTTCGGTCCTGTCTTCTCAAATGCTATCACCAGGAGCAAGTTGAACCCAGGCTAGATAAGCAAGGAGCTCATGTAGAGGATAAAATAAAAATACCATTACTGACAATCCACCTCTACCACACAAAGAATAAACTGTTGATACAGGGATGCTCCATCGCTGTCAATGACTGGATTTCAACAAAATTCTCTGAACTACAGATGTCAGCTAAAGAAACATGTGCAGAATTGTTTAAAGCGCAACCAGTTCTCAATACACCCACCGAAAGTGAGACAGTCACATCAATTATGCCTGTACTCACACTTATAGACAGCACATCAGCTAACAGCCTCGTTTTGTCACAAGAAGTTGAATATAATACTGCTTCTATAACTGTTGATAAACCGCTTCTGTTAGCCATAGAATACCCAATGTTGCAGCCTCAAGATGTGAAAAGTACCGAAAATATCACTGTTGTATCAGATCGTGAGGAAACCTCTTCCCTCAACATTTCAGCATGCGATTGTCAGAGTCGAATTGGTGCTGTAGAAAGAAACCTCAAGACACTCACTGACATAGTTGCTTCAAATACTGAAAGAAACAGTCAGATCAGTGGGGATCACAACGCGCTCAGAGCCGAAATAATGCTCCTGAGAGAAGAAAACCTGTCACTGAGAAGGGTCATTGAAACTCTACAGCGTGGGCCAGTTTCTGACCTGGCAACGCAAACAGAGACTCCCAGTACGGTTGGATCATCAGTAGTTCCCCAACCAAATCTACAAGAGAGTGATCTTGAAAAAGAAAAAAATGAACAAGCTGTAGAAAACCTTTATCCCATCGATGTTCAAATTTCAAACAGATTTGATGCGTTGCTGGAGCGGTCAGAAAACAGGCAGTCTATCGATGCAGTACCAACACCCATCGAACAGGCACAAGAAACATCCTGTGATCTGCAGACTGATAGTCATCAATGGAAGAAGCAGGGTGCAAGACGCTCTAGTTACCAACAGGAACCAGCAATAAGATCTGACTGCACGCATCTAATAATTGGTGACTCCCTAATGAAGGGTGTGTACAGTTCCCGAATGTCGACATCAGACAGTGAAGTTGTTTCTATCCTTTCACTGCCAGGTGCAGGAGTCGATAGACTAATAGACAGAATACGCAAACTGCATTCAAACAACAACATCAAGAAAACCACCATACACATAGGTATAAATGACACTATGAATAACAATCCTATAACAGCTGCTCAGTTACAGACATTATTGGATATACTGCGTAACAAATTTGTAAACACATGTGTTCGATTCTCGTCAATAATTCCCCCAAAGTTTGGTCCCCAACGTAGTCTGGCTGACACCAACAACAAGGTGTTGGATAAATTCTGTGTCCAGAAAAACATAGATTTTATCAACAATGCGCCTTTCTTCACGGCCCAGTCAGGTGCACCGAAGAAACTCCTCTACAAGGATCAGATTCACACCTCTACCTTGGGAACGAGCATCCTCGCGAAAAATATCAAGTATCCCCAAAGAACACAGTGCAGTCTTAACAGTGAAGTGCGGAAGTCTTCATGCGACTCCCGCACCATACAAAACAAGCCAGGCATCCCAACTACACACTCGTCCATACCGGACAGAAGACTGTCAACAACCCCACGAGCACACCCACTACCACATGGGAAACAGCCACACCATTTCACACCCACCTCAGCGCAGGAGAGAAATAACTACGAAGATTTGTTTCCTCCTCTTCCCAACAGGGAACCGCCCACCATCGGCACAACACCGCTGCTACGGCGGCATGATTTCACCGGTCAAGGACATGAGTCCTCGAATGAAAACATACACACACCGGAGCAAATGTTTCCTTCTAATTGGAACTCCGAACTTTTACACCTTATGCGCTTCAGCCCCAATGCGCTCAGGCAAGCACTGACGATGTCGATGTCTCTACAGTACAGACCGGCAGGATACAAAACCTGTTAAATAACTACACAGAATCTCAGCAGAAAAGAGTTTTCATTTGTCGCTTTTTCCATTGCGTCAGTATTGTGTAGTCCACTCGGCCAGCAGTGGGTTGCACGAATTTGACTTGAGTCGCCTTTTGTGTGTGCGTCCCACATAGGATTTGATTCAGTTTTGTACTTGATATAATTGTGTGTTTTTTTTCTTCTTCTTGACATAATTCTGCTTATTTTGTGTGTGTGTCCCACATAGGACTTGACTTGATTCAGTTTTGTACTTGATATAATTGTGTGTTTTTTTTTCTTCTTCTTGACATAATTCTGCTTATTTTGTGTGTTTTTATCGATGTACTTGATATAATTCTGTTATTATTTTATTTGATATATTCTGCTATTCTAGTGTAGCAGAAAACTAAGTGGGAGTGTAGACGAGCTACTGGGCACATTAGTTGTTCATTCTTGCATTGTGTTAAATTGTTATTATCTTGTAGTTGTTATACTTGCTTCAAGTTTTCCTTGTAATGTCTAACAAAGAGGAACACTGGCTTAGCAAAGCGGGTCTCAGGTTAGGTCATCTCAATATTTGCCATCTTATGAGGAAGCTGCCTGAGCTGTCCCTTATTCTGAATCAAAATTTCCATATGTTCGGCCTTAGCGAAAGTCGATTAACTGATAACATTTCAGATGAAGACGTATTTATTAAAGGCTTTAAAGTTTTTAGAAGAGACGCGTGTGTTAAACAAGAGACGGGTATAGCGGTCTACATAAGTAATTCCCTTAATGTTCACCGTAGGCAGGACTTAGAGACTAGTGAGGTGGAATGTATATTTTTAGAAGTCAAATTAAAAAATCACAAACCCATCATGGTTGGTTACGTCTATCGAAACCCTAGCGCTGGGGCTATGTGGTATGACAACTTCACCACCATGATGGATCCATTGTTTACCAGTGCCAATGAAATCATACTTTTTGGAGATTTTAATATTGATGCTCAAAAATCAAACAAAACATGGGAAAATATAGTTGCATCATATAATCTCCAACAATTAGTTGAGCAGTCTACTAGAGTAACGAACTCTTCCTCAACCATTATAGATCACATATATGTAACATGCCCAGAAAACATCGTAGAATGCAAGGTCCCCAACTGTACAATGAGCGATCATTTTCCAACTTGCATCACTTGGAGTAAAAGAGGCACAAAAATCCCAAAGCATAAACATATTAGCATAAAGTTTAGAAGTTATAAAAATTTCAGTCAAGATGCATTCTTAAAAGATTTACTTGATTCCCCCCTGAACCATGTTTATCAACTTCCTGATCCAGATGAAGCCATGGAGTATTGGTTGAAGACCTTCCTTGGGTTGTTTGATAAACATGTACCAATGAAGGAAGTCCGAGTAAAGCATCAGAGTAAATCACCATGGATTACCCAGGAAGTAATTGAGACTATAAGAGAGCGAGATAGGGCACATAAAAATAAGGACTTAGTAAAATATAGGATTTTGCGTAATAAAGTTCAATACATCATTCGAAAGGAAAAAAAGAATTTCTTTACAAAATTAGTAACAGATAAAACAAATAGTAAAGATATATGGAAGGCAATTAACACCTTGACTAACAGAAACAATTCATCACGCTTGTTATCATCAAATCATGTTACATCAGACGATTTCAGTAATTTCTTTCAAACAGATATAGAGCAGTCGAAGGCTTCAATACCACATTATCCATGTGATTTATCCTTGCTGTCCTCGTTTTGTGAGACTAAATGCTCAAATGACATTCATTCTGACATGCCGCTCATGTCAGTTACTGAAGTATTTACATATCTCACTAGTCTAAAAAGCAGTAACGCTTCAGGTTTAGATGGAATCAGCAATAGGATCCTTCGGTGTGCTGCATCAGTTGTCTGCGAGTCGTTAACGTTTATATATAATCAGTGTCTTGTCAAAGGCTATTTTCCTTCAGCTTTTAAAATTGCCAAAGCATATCCACATCTTAAATCTGGCTCTTTGGACAGTGGTCTCCCAAGTAGCTATAGACCCATCTCCTTATTATCATCATTATCAAAACCGCTAGAAAAACACATTCACAAAATAACCCTCCAACATCTAGATAAAAACAAACTTATAATTGATAACCAGTCAGGATTTCGACCAAAGTATTCGTGCCATACAGCTTTAACAAACATGATAGAAAACTGGCATCATAATATTAACGAAGATAAAATAGCTGGGTGCGTGTTTATAGACTTCAGAAAAGCCTTTGACATGATAGACCATACTATCCTTATTAGAAAACTAGAAATAATGAACTTCAATTGTAACCTATTAACGTTATTAAGATCCTTTCTGTTAAATAGGAAACAGGTAGTTTCATACAATAAATCCCTGTCACAGACTACTGTGGTGAATACTGGAGTACCCCAAGGCTCTATTCTTGGCCCTCTGTTATTTGCTGTTTATATAAATGATCTTCCTTTATGTCTGTCGTCGCCGTGTGATTTATTTGCAGATGACTGTACAGTCTATACAAGTGCTCAAACGTGCGATAGTCTAGAGTCATCATTACAACAGGAATTAAACAATGTTGTTTCCTGGAGCTATGCAAACCGCATGCAAGTAAACATTAGTAAAACAAAATGCATGTTAATATCAACAAGACAAAAGCTATATTCTTTATCTGCACATAATACCCTTCAACTCTACATAAGTAACAACCCAGTAGAATGTGTAACTGAGCACAAATCTTTAGGCGTAATTATTGATAGAAATTTAACCTTCACTTCTCATGTGCAAGCTCTAGTGAAACAAACAGCTAAAAAGGTATACCAGCTTGCAAAAATTAAACACTTTCTGGATGAAAACACCAGAAGGATATTCTATACCTCCCATATTCAGACCCATCTAGACTACTGCTCCACAGTATGGGATGGCTGTCCAAGTTCAGTCATGAAACGGCTTAAAGCACTTCAAAAAAGAGCTGTACGCTTAGTCAGTAATAACCATGGAAGAGATAGTTCCAGTTTACATAAAGATCTTAAGTTACTACCCTTCCATAAACGTTTACTTTTCAACAAGGCCAAATTTATTAACAAAATCTTATCAAAAAATGCTCCAGATTACCTTTGGCCATTATTTAAGTATAATGGGCGACATAGCAAACGCCTAAACATATTACACATCCCTAAACCTAGAATAGACTTGTACAAAACAAGCTTGGCGTACTCTGCAGCTCATCTGTGGAACCAACTTCCACAACCAATTAAAAATATCAAAAACCCCTTTAAATACAATTGGAAGCTTTTTGAAAATTATCTCACTTCAGACTACATGCCCCCTTAGAAGATAAAGTTTCCTAAGAACAATGTTGATTTCCACCAAGATTGATTATATTTAGTATTATAATTGTTTTAAAATGTAGGCATACTTAGAGTGCATTGTTACAAACATGTTATTAATGATGCCTGTAATTGTCATTATTGTTATTATTATTATTATTATTATTACTATCTTCTTAAACAATGTGTGCATAAATAATGTATGCATGGCGTAAGGCCAGAAGGGCAGAATGTAAGACGGGCCTGTGTGCCCAATTCTTAACCCTTTGAAAATAAAGATTGTTCGTTCGTTCGTTCGTTCGTTCGTTCGTTCGTTCGTTCGTTCGTTCTCTCTAGACTTCCATGACGTTTCAAGTGACCAAAATATTTCAATTTTCTTTGTTTTATTGTCTTTACTAGCCAACCCTCTTCAATATTCAGCTCTTGAAGTATGGATGCATTTGTTCTTTTCTTTACCCAAGATATTCTTAGAACCTGTCTGTGATAGTTAATAGTGGATTGAAATGACTGTTTTTATCTTTCACCTTGTTATAATGGATTGAAATGACTGTTTTTATCTTTCACCTTGTTGTAATGGATTGAAATGACTGTTTTTATCTTTCACCTTGTTGTAATGGATTGAAATGACTGTTTTTATCTTTCACCTTGTTGTAATGGATTGAAATGACTGTTTTTATCTTTCACCTTGTTGTAATAGATTGAAATGACTGTTTTTATCTTTCAGCCTCAAGAGAAATTCGAGGGTGTACTTCTACACTGGTTTTGTTGCCTACTGCAGTGGTCTGCTTCTGACGATGTTCATCTTGCACTATTTCAAACACGCACAGGTAGGTAGCCCATTTTCTGACTTTGTTTCTTTTTTACTCCCCGTGTGGGTTCCCTGGCCCCATTGTGGTGCATGAGGGAGGAAGGGGTAGGCCCACTTCCGAACCAGCAAGCATGTTGTAATAGTCGGCTGCTTAGGGGTTTTCCCTTTAGAGTTAGATTGTATATGCCTGAAAGGTAAGGAACCAACGGTCTGCATACAAATAAGCCAAATCTGTAAAAATTAAATGCACACAAAATTGAAGTTCTGGGCAAATACAAAAACCAGAAGTGGACGAACAACCAGAACTTTCTGCTGGAGTTTTCAGCTGAAGAAAAAGAATAAGTTTCTTCTTTACAACTTGTTTGATTTTCTAGAGCAAATATCATCAATTGTAACGTAAAACAAAACTATTTGTTTTATTAAAATAGTATTATGAGAACTTCTGATAGTTTTTGTGTGTGTGTGTCATCTTTTGTGTTCTCTGCTAAAAGGCAGCTGGTGTGTAATATTGTGGTTTAGAGCAAGGCAGTCACTGTTTTTGGCCTAATGCATCTGATTTCTGCAAACCACTAATTAATTACCTTCCACGCATGCTTGATAGAGGCAGCAGGTCTATGCTTGTTTTCTCCAAAGTGTGTCTCCGGAACCAACACAGGAATATTGTTTATGTATAAATGGTATGTTTTATATCAGTGCTAATTCTTGAATTTAATATCAAGAAAATCAACTTTATCGCGCTAGGTCTTTCTCTACAGAACAGCTAGTCGTCTGCCCAAGAATGTTGCAAAAAAGCACAAACTCTGTAGCTTCAACAGTAAAAAGGAAGGTTCTCCTAAAATCCTCAACTTCTTTACAAGCGTTCCATAAAAGGCGAGTAATTAAGAATTCACTAAAACTGGATGTGTTGGACCAAAAGGTGCAGATATCACAGCCTAGCTGTAAATCACAACATAATGTGCCAACCGCCCTTTAAAGGGTGAGTACAGAAGAGGAAGAAGATAACCCTATGCCGCTTGCTTTGCTTTATTTAGCCTTATTCTGATGTGTATTTAAGCATTCATCTGACACAGCCCTGATAACCGTGTGCAACATAGCCCTGATAACCGTGTGCAACATTACAGCTGTGTTTAGTTTCACGAGCGGTGTCTTTGGCTTAGGTGTTGCGAGTCCGACTTTTAATTGCAATGTACTGCAGTCGAAACCCACTGCTGGCTGCATGGATTTTTATTATGGTATGGGATGTCGCAGGTCGACCCAGCCTAAACTGGGTACCAAGATGTATGTCCTGGGGGAAGTAAAGATGGTCGACATAATGCTGCACATTACCCACCTAGTGCAGATGGTCTGTAAAAATATGGGTGCTCTTCCCATATACCCGTTACACCCAAGGGATCTTTACTTTACCTACTTACTTCTTAGTTTCATGATCATAGTGTAAATGTCACCATCAGTCTAACATAGCTTTGCAAATTCTGTACACAGCCTGCATTGCTGTATTTAGTCCCTTTTTGCTTGGGACTGCCAATTGGAGTCGCATCACTGAAAGGGGACATCAAAGCAATGTTTGAGTAAGTTATCGTTTTTTAGTTTTATGTTTCTTTTTCTACTTTTCGATGCTACTGAAGAAGGGGACGGAGGACATGTGGGAATGTTCAGAATGCATTGATGTGCTAGGGTGCAATCATTTGATAACTGCAAACAGCAGTGGTTGCATCTTTGGGCTTATAGGACAAACTTCAGAAGCTTTTTCACGCAAGCATATTCTAAAAAAGGTAAAGGGCTCGTTTTCATGCATGCTGGGCATTTAGGGTTTGACCAATATTTGTAAAGACCAATCGGCACTCGATGGGTGATGTTGTCAACATCACGTCGGCGGCCTTTGCTTCCCATGACATTTTACCTAGTACCATTTGAGGCTGGGTCGACCTGGGAGCCAAAGTCATTTTAAAAAATATAAAAAAACAACAACATTTTCATACAGATCCATAAAGACAGAATTAGCAACTTACTCAGCGGGAAACCAGTAGTTATAGCAACAGTCCTCCATGTGTGGGTTCAGGGGCCCCATTTGGGGAAAAGGGACAAGACTAGGCCCCTTGATCCTTAATAAACATGTCCTAAAAGGTCACTAATTAAGGATTTGCTGGTCGGATGTGCTGGTTTGAAATATGTTGATATACCCTAGCTGTAAACTGCAACATTACATGCTGATCACCCTTGCAGGAAAAGAGGGCAAGCAAGGATATTTCTGCCCACAAGGACAGCAGGTCTCTCTCTCGCTCTATATATATGTGTGTGTGTATATATATAGATATATATATATTTCATTCATGCACACAAACATAGACATACACAGCAGTCTATATATCTTCCATAGCATGCCGACACCTTTTAAAAAAAAAAGGACCTTCATCTAGGGTGAACACATTCAGTTATCCATTATGCCAGGTTATCGATTCAAAAAACAGCAAATTAAAAGAATAATAAAGACTAGTGAGAGGCACACAGTGATACAAATTAGAGGTATGTATCAAGCGATGAACAGACAGAAGGCTCAGAGAGTGTGCTACCGAAGCAAACACAAAGTTTGGGAATCCACTGCATCCATCCTTTATTGCGGAGATGGTACCTGGTTGATTGAAAGACCAATAAAAATCTATAGTTGTGTTATTGAACTGGTCTTCTTCTTCTTCTTTGTCATGTTCACCGGCTGTAAACTCTGGCAGAAAGTTCTAATCGTTCGTCCACTTCTCGACTTTGGTCTTGCACCAGAACTTGAATTTTGCATGCTTATCTGTTTTACAGATCTGGTTTATTTGTAATCGACTTGTAATTCCAACATACCATGATCGAAACCCACTGCTGGCTGTGTGAACTTGAATTTTGAATGCTCATCTGTTTTACAGATCTGGTTTATTTGTAATCGACTTGTAATTCCAACATACCATGATCGAAACCCACTGTGGCTGCGTGGATTTTTATCATGGCATGGGGCATCGCAGGTTGACCCAGCCTAAAATAGGTACCAGGATGGTTGTCCTGGGGAAGAAAGACGGCCGACATAATGCTGACCACATTACCCACCTAGTGCCGATTGGTCTGTAAAAATATGGGTGCTCTTCCCATATGCCTGACGCGCCTGAAGGCATGAAAAGGGATCTCGTCTCATCTCGTTATTTGTAAGCAGACTGTTGGTCTCTTCAAATGTCAGGCAGACGCACTCTGACTGTAAAGGAACCACTCCTGTTTATGCTGCATGCTTGTTGAAGAGCAGAGGGTTAATGAAAGTCAGTTATCAACACTGATGTATGTTTTATTATTTCCTTGCCAGATACGAGGATCATCCAGACACTTCAAAAACAGAAGAGACGGCTAAGACAAAATAGTTAGAATTTTAGTTTTTCCTTCCTCTGCCAAAATTGTATGGAACAGCATTATGTAGGCAATTCAAACGGTGTTGGCCTGTGTTTTGGAAACTGCTATTCTCTCATCAGTTGTGATTATTCAGTAAAACTTTTATTTTAAGGCACTACTGATGTAGTCTTTCAAACAAGAGGTAAACATTTTAATTTGGAAAAATTTAAGGAGCGTTTATTTGAGACCAGTTCCAATGGCTTTATTACAAAAGCATGAAAGAAACATCAACAAATGTGGCAGAATTAAGCAGAACATTCATATTTAATTATTTATACGCCAAGGGTAGGTCTACAAGAACTATTGGAACCATACCCATCGTTAAATTTATTGAGAAGCAAAGAATGAAATGGTTTGGTCACCTAATGAGAATGGAACCAACGATGCCAGCATCAAGAGCATACAACATGAAAATCGAAACACCAAGAGGCAGGGGAAGACCAAGAAGAAGATGGATTGAAGGAGTCACGGACAACTTGAGACTTCATAACATCACGGCATATTAAGCGACTGAGCGCGCCCTGGCTTGGTTGCCGATCATCTGATAGACTGCGACGCCTAGCGGCACAAGCAGATTTTGACAAAAGAAGAAGGGTAGGTCAGAAAAAGTTGTAGGAATTCAGGCAAGCATCCCATTGCTTAGATAGGTGGTGAATGCTGTCTTAAAAAAACAAAAGATTTACACTGGTAAGCATTAAACTGCGGGGGAACGTTTTAGTTGTTTGTATACTTCTGGACCTTGGTCTTGTTCCAGCTTAATTTTGCGTGCACATCCGTTTTCCAATCTGGCTTATTTGTATGCAGAATGTTGGTTCCTTGCCTCTCAGGCAAATACACAACTTCAAAGAAAACACCTCTAGTAAGTTGCCTTTTGTGACATGCTTGTTAGGGTAGCAGTGAGGTCTGTTATCTTTTGTCCCTCCAAAATAGGACCATGGAACCCACATGGAGAATTAGTACATAAACTTGTGGTTTCCAGCTTGCTTGAGGAATCCCCTAGAACGGTCTTTTCTATTTGGTAGTCCTCGGACCTCCTTGTGTCTGGGGAATCAATGTAAGGGGACAGAAGGAGACAGTCATGATTTTTCAGCCATATTACGAGAAGAGGGAAAATAGAACATGTTGTGACCACTGGAAAGATCTGTGGAAGGAGGTATAGAGGAAGACAACAAGAGGAGATTCTTGACAGTCTTGATGCATGGCATGGAGGTGTGTTGGCAGACGAACTGATACAGACGAACTGATGCTGCGGGAGATCGTGGTTTGTGGAGAGGCATGATCGCCCACGCCAGTCTGGCAAGGCACCTGATGATGATGTTTATTGAAATGTTCCAGCCGCGTGCAGTTCCCAGTTTCATTTGCGAGTATTTGATTGTACAGAAGCAACTGATATTTCAGACCTGAGTTGTTGGTGAAGGGACATATTAAATTCTGATGTGTTACACATTTATCAGAGTATTTGATCTTGCCTGATGTCATAGCTAAATTCACACATATATTCCAAGTCAACGGCACTTACTTTTTTTTTAAATTCCTATATTTTTTAATTGGTGGTGGAGACAGCGCTTCAGGTTTAGAATATCAACTGTCATTACTGCCTTTATTTACCTCTTTTTTGTTGCTGTGTAGCCTAGGGATGTCTTGAGCCTGAGGATGTAGAGCCGCATGGCTAGTACATATTGGGATTTTTTTTCCTGACAGAAAAATCCCCCACCTTATCGATGACTCGAAACCTAGGTCACCAGCTGAGTGCTGATAACCAGAAATATCGGTAATCAGAAATAGCTTTGTTTTAAATTTGTTTTCCTCGTGTGTGTTCCGGGGTCCCATTATGCGGAAAACAAAAAATGTCCCACTGACTTTCCAGCAAGCATGTTATAGGAGTCGACTAACTGGGTACTTCCTTTAAAGTCAGAGTGCATCTGCCCAAGAGGCAAGGAACAACCAGCTGCACACAAAGTCAGTAAAACGGATGTACACACCAAACTTAGGCCCTGGCACAAAGCTAGAGTCCAAATGGAGGAACACCCAGGACTCTCCTCCGGAGCTTACAGCCAGTTAACAAAGAAAGAAGAAGAAGAAATATGTTTTATCCCTCTGTGGAGAGCCATATTAGGGGATGTAACCGTGTTGTCAGTTAGCACAGCACATATGACCTGGATGCGATTAATCTTCTTTCTATTATCAGCCACCGGAGTATTGACCTTTATCCCTTTTGTCCAGAGAAGCCACGAAACGGATATTACCAAGGGGCACCATTGGTAGTAAAAGCTGACGTGTTTATGAAACGTTTTAACTAAGAGATTTCTTTGCATCTATGCAAACGTTAAGCGTTAGAAGGGATGACTAAATTTACTAAAGATAGTGGTGGGTGCCCTATTATAGAATTTGCCTTTATTTATAGAACTTTCTACATCATATTTTTCCCATCGGCTACAGTGGTTACCGGGTCACAGGGTCAAGTATGTATCATGCAACAATTAGTTTACAGATTCTAAAAGATGTTGGCCAGTTGATTATTTGCTGCATTCACTTTTATTGATGACTACCCTTATTCTGCATAGCATTTGTTCAAATTTCGGAGGATAAATAGATTTTTTTTGGGGTGACCTGTGTAGAATGGTTGTTTTTTTTTTTTGGGTAAGATTAGGAGGGTGGGATTTTCAAAAATGGACAGCTTGGCTTTGTTTTGTTTTTTTGGGGTCATTGGGTGAAAGGGTTTACCTATTAATTGCCAAACCATCCTATCATGTCTGCGGTAATTTTTGAGTTGTAACAATAATATTTCTGAACAGACTAATTCTGAATTGATAATGTGTTCATTCAGCTGATTGGTCAATTTATTATCAGATACCATATTGTGTTTTGGGGTATTTTTGATTCACAAAAGCCTCTGTCTTCCCATTCATGCAACATTTATTTATATAAATTTGTTACTAAACACAAACCTTTAAAAAAGTCAATAATGCCAGATTGTTTTTAAATGCTAGCTGTCAAAAATAATTTATATCAAAATGTCATTATTTTTCAGTCCAGCAAAGGTGAACATCAAATTGTTACTAAACACTGACCTTTAAAAAAGTCATTGATGCCAGATTGTTATTAAATGCTGACAGTCAAAAATGATTTATATCAAAATGTCATTAAGTTAACAGTCCTCAAAAACTACATCAAATTATTACTAAATACTAACCTTTAAAAAATGTCATTGATGCCAGATTGTTATTAAATGCTAGCTGTCAAAAATGATTTATATCAAAATTTCGTTAACAGTCTAAAAAAAAAAAAATACCTGAATATCAAATTGCTACTAAACACTAACATTCAACCCTGTGTGGGTTCCTGGGTGTTGACTAATTGGGGACTTCCTTCAGGGTCAAAGTACATCTTCCTTAGAAGCAAGGAATGACACATAACTTCAGCCACATCTGTGAAACAGCTGTGCACGCAACACTCAGGTTCTGGAACAAGACCAAAGTCTGAAGTTGTAAGAACACCCAGAACTTTCCGCTGCAGTTTACTGCCAGTGTACGCGAAGAAGAAGAAAAGTAGACTAACATTTAAAGATAATTTATATCAAACTATTGTTAGACTCTTACATTAAAAAATAATTGATATCAAATTGTTACTCAATGCTGACAGTCAAAAATTGATGCCATATAACGTATGTTAATTTAACCACATGTGGACCAAACCTTTTGATGACATTTGATTTTTATGTTGACATCAGTTATTGTAGATATTGTCTGTTTATTTCTTGTTTTAAATGTTTCTTATTGGTTGTGGTGCTGTTTTTAACATTTACAGAAGTTTGCTTTTGTCATGTATACTCATGATTCATTTCCCAGTGAAATTATATTTTCCATCATCCTGTTGTATTGTGGTGTTATCCTGTACTCTGCCTTCATGTGGTGTGCAATTTTTTATTTTATTTTTGTGTATGTTTCATTCATTCAAAGCTCTGTCACATATGTTCTCCCATACCTAGCTCTTTAAATCCTAAGGTATTCTCACAACAGTTTTCCCAAGGGAATGACTGATCACTGTGAAAAATCACAAGTGTATAACTTTCAGTTAGGCAAATTATGCAGCAGGCAGCAGAAGTAGCCAGTAGGGAAGCCAGGGGTGAACACATTACACGATGGCTGGGGTTCATGAATAAAAGTCTGTGACACATCACATGTTGCATGAGATTGAAAGAGTTAACAGTTATGGGTGCATTCTGCAGTAGAGCAGTGGCTAGATACTTGACTGTATGCCTAAAGATCTTGAGTTTGAATCCACACAGGACAGGGCAGAATTTATATAATTTACCTTGGTTCCTAGCTCAACACAGAGTACTAAGAATTATCATGTGAAGAAAGGGCAGGAAACATGATCTTGCCCACATCACCCATTCATCACTAAAGTTATTGGTTTTGAATCCAGATTGTACCATTGTTTCAACAAATCAAGTCCTTTCTTAATGGGACAAACTGTAAACTCCAGTAGAAGGTTCTGGTTGTTCGTCCACCGCTGGACATTGTCTTGTTCCAGATCTTGAGGTTTACATACACATTTGTTTTACAGAACTGGCTTTTTTTTGTATGCAGTTTGTAGGTTCATCGTTTCCCTGGCAGATTTACTTTTGTGCTGCATGCACATTTGTTCAAGTCACCGCCCAAGTCACTCTTTCATCTTCACTCATACTGGATGAAAAAGAGTGGTCATCATCATCTTGATGGACAACACACACACATTTGTTTTACAGATCTGACTTATTTGTATGGAGACTGTTGGTTGCTTACCTCTCAAGCAGATGCACTCCAACTTCGAAGAAAAGCCCCAGTTAGTTGATTCATACGACATGCTTTTTGGGGGAGGCAGTGAGTCTATTCTTGCTTTCCCCACAAAGGGGCTGAAACCCACACAGGAATTCTGTAATAGTGATAGCTGTACACTACATTAGTTATCAGTCTTCCCAGCAAGATTG